AGAGAGAGAGAGAGAGAGAGAGAGAGAGAGAGAGAGAGAGAGAGAGAGAGAGAGAGAGAAGGTGACACGGAAGGGACTTGTAGATTTGTCGAGTGCTATCGTGCAACTAATCTGGCCACATATATGTGCTAGAGTCAGTTGAACAGAGTGCAGGGAAAATATTGGCCAGATTCATCCAGAAATGGCCTGCACAACGTAGAACAAGTAGAAGAAGAAGCCGAACAAGAAGGAGAAGAGGGAAAAGAAGAAGGAGACGACTTAGAAGAAGAACAAGGACAAGAAATTCAAAGAGGGGAGGAATGCCGTGTTTCACAATGTAATGGACTGGGAGTCTGGGACTGCTACCCAACGGGAAAAAAGCTATGACCTCCCTTTTCAGCCTCACTTTTGCCTCAGTAGAAATCTGAGAGAATCACGGAGCCAGTGGGAAACTGCCTCAAGCAATTGTGAGGAGGAAGAAAGAATTTGAGAGAAGCATTTACTGTAAAAAAAAAAAAAAAAAAAAAAAACTGCAAGAGCAGACGAGATCATGCGGCATCCTGACTCCAGCGATTTATTAACAAAGGGATCGTGACAAACAGACATGGTATTCTGCAGATTTTGCCATCCGAGATCTTACTGCATTTCTAGCATACTGCCACAGAAGGGGAAAACAAAAAAGAAAAAAAGAAAAAAAAGAAAAAGAAAAAGAAAAAGAAACTGGCATTCGGTAAACGCTGCAGTTGGGGAAAACAGGGCGTACTCACACTAGCAGTATCTCAAATGCATTTGACCGCGTTCACGGGGATACCTGGATGTATCTGGCCGCAATTCCGTCCAAAAATGCGTCAAAAAGTCCTAGTGTGAGTGTGCCGCCCACAGTTAGATCTTCCCCGTCCGAAAATCTTTCGGCCGGCCTGTTGAGACTTATCCTACAGTAACTCCCTTTCCTAAGGTACTCACACTAGCAGTATCTCAAATGTATCTGACCGCATTCACGGGCATCCCTTGATGTATCTGGCTGCAATTCCGTCCAAAAATGCGTCAAAAAGTCCTAGTGTGAGTGTGCCCACAGTTCGATGTTCCCCGTCATATGAGGGAAATAAAAAGGAGGGGCGGAGAGTGCATGCTCATCCTCCTCGCAAGTCTTTCGCCGCCGCAGTCAATTTCGATTGACGGACGGAGTAAAGAAGACTTCGCCATCGCTCGTTCCTCTGATCGTCACCCACTTTTCCATCTCGAAAGCGTATTCACACCTAATGTGCCATCCCCTCGTCCCTCCCTCTGCCAACCATGATGTTTATCGAATTGAGACGCTCTGTTATTAGCTCACGAAAAGCAATATGAATTCTACAAAGAGAGAACTCAGAGAAGCTCTACAATGGTCGCGGTTCTAAATAGGTTATCGCGTAATCACACCTTTGTGCTGTTCCGGCGTCCCTCCCGCCGTCAACCAAACTGACACGTTCTTCTGTTATTAGATTACGAAAAACAATATGAATTCTAGAAAGAGAGCAGCTCTACAGTGGTCGCGGTGCTAAATAGGCTATCTAGACAAGGATAACACTCCCATCGGAGGTACAAAGTCGTCCAACAAAGGAGGGCGCCAGCGTAAACCAGGTCTAATCCACCTCCACCAATTGTGGATAAATGGTATAAAAAATGTCATGAAACTATAAATAAACAGCTTACGAATTCGAATCCTGAACGCAATCAGATATGTAAATGGATAGAATAATTATAGGGGCTTACCCACTATAAAAGAATCTGGTCTTCCCGCCTCCACAGCCATGGGAATTTTGCTCTTCGCTGCGTCATTTAGTGTACGGCACCTTTTTACAAACACTTCAGTAGTCCGAAGCCAGACCAATCAGACGAAATCAATAATTATAGGGCTTAGTACGGCTTACCCTCTACACAGAAACACCTACTGTAGCCTTCTGCGCAAACAGCCGCAGGCCCGCAGCAGTTCCGCTGTGCGCTGCGTCATATAATCTACGGCACGCCAACGCTTCGGCTTCTCTAAGATGTAATCATAATAAACAGGGTATTGCCCGTTTCCCCCGTCAAACGCAACGCACCCTGGTCACGACTGTATATGACTGGAAAGATAGCCTGTGTACAGTCGAAATGAGGGTCAGTTCTGTCCGAGGGAAGACACTTGTAGCTTGTGTATATTCCAAATGAGGGCGACTTCTGTCGAGGGACGACGCTGGTAAGCTTTTTCCCCAAAAGAAACAACCAATATGCCTATATTCGGAAACACACTGCAACTTGCACGTGCTACTCTGCTACACGAGAACCTATACATATATGTACGATGAGTGGGTGAAACTTCGACGAAACAGTCTGTCACAGCCTGTCGTTTGTCGTTCTCTTCTGCCTCTCCGCCTACGGTTCACGGCCCAGAGTTCTACAACGGTATGCATATATTTATATACATATTTATAAATGCAACAAGAGCTCTATAACGGTAGTATTTGCAAATACAGAACATAAAGAATGGTCAAGACGAGAAGCATAAAGCAAACGCGGAGGCAAATTCCACGCTGTTTCCTATCTACGCGAACGATGGCCTCGCCTTCGATCGGAAGCTGCCAGCTCAGCCCATCTACGTTGGGCAGATTGGCGATTTGCTGACGCATGTCAGTACTTACCTTTTCATCAACGAAGCAAAGGATGTACACGCGCTGCGCCGCTTCCGGGCTGACGTTGGTCCATATCCATCTTCTCATACTGACGTGAGCATCGTCCACGCGATCAATTTCATGACTTGCCGGCCTGTACTCGAGGATTACTCTGTGCTGCTTCTCCATCTCCTGCTGCAATTCACAAAGTTGGGTCTCTATTCCGCGTCGACCATCCTCAGCATCCTGTCCTTCAAGGAGGAGCGGGTCGGAAATCGGGAAGATCTGGGCCTTCCACATGGCATTAGCGGTCGACGACGAGCTGCCATGGATCGATCGACTGCTTCTCATCACGTTCGTCTTGCAGTCTCTGACTCTCGTTACTCTTCTGAAGCTCGGTGTCAATTGCTGAGGTGGCGGGTGCTGGGCAGCCAACAAGAACACACGGTGTTCCGCATTCAACAACAGCTGATGACTTAGGGCATCGAACCAGCGGAGATCTGGAGCTGCTGGACAGGGCAGGCCTCCATTGTGGGTTGCGCAAAGGAAGACTTTCTCGTTTCTCTCTCGGCAGGGCTCGCAGAATTGCTTGACCGTGAGAGAATCTCGAAAGCCTCCTTCAAGCAGCAACCCGTCGATCTCCTGCGATTTGAAAAGCGCATTCCATTCGTTCGCTCCCACCCGTCCTCGAATAGCGATACGCGTTCTGGCGGCAGCATCGGCGCTCACCTCATCGCTGATCACTCCCCGAATGTACCGAACAGTCTCCACCACGTGGCTCTCAAACCCCTCCGCCGGTGTAAAAGAATCTTCATGAGCGCCGCCGCCCCCATATCCTGCGCGGGGGGATGCGGAAGCGGAATCAGTAATCGGAATGGAACTGGGTCGATAAGCGATGAAGATGTTGCGCCAGTCGCTGCGAGCGTGCCGCAGAACGTCCATGAGTTGAGCCTTGCAATAGCCTTTCTCCTGCTCCAGGGTCGAGCCCTCGACGCCAAGCGTTTGCTTGTCTGAAGCACTGCACACGCCGATGCACAGTATCACTAACAGCCCGCAGTGCACAGCCAGCGCCGCTTGCTGCCCAACCAGTTCGTTGTTCCCTCTCCATGGACACTCGTTGGATGTGGAATGACACCAATCGCTTGCAGCGCTCGGCGACACTGCCTCAAGGAGCACGTAAGCGATCCCAGAATGCCTCAGAAACTCGGGATGAAAAGGTGACCCGGGGAAGGGCGCCGCCGCCGCCGCCACCTCGAAGCCGTCTTGCGCTTGTTCGATCTGTCTTTGGCGTTCGACCACTAGATTCTGGCCTCGCACGCAGACAACCCAATCGCAAACATCTCGCGAAGCCACGTGTCGACACCCCTGCTCGCTCGACAGGCCGACCTCAGTCTTTCCCGCCAATTTGGAAAGGTTTTTCAAGCACAAATCGATGTCCTCGACGTTCCAGATATCACCCATGAATGGCTTCCTTGTAAAGATAGATTTCACCCACATCCGCCCGAATGCATACGTGCACGCTTCACGGAACTCAAAGAACCGTCGATTGATCTCATCGTCCTCGCCTGGTGGTTGCGCCGCCGACGTCGCCGCTGCCGCCCCCACAGCCTCAAGCCACTCCTCGTTCTCGAGTCGAAACTTGGACAATATAGGACGCAACCAGAGCGGACACGTACGCCTCCTTCTCTCAACCTCCATGACGAACTTCTGCCACCGGTGCCTCGCGCTGCTTATCCTGGCCATTCTCATCTCGTACTCGGTCATCTTCCTGGCACGTTCCCTGCAAGAGATTACCTCTTCCTCCGAGCAACGGCCAGGTTTTGCCAGCGACACACCTGCGGAGACTGACCCCTCTTCATCCAGGAAGAGAATCCCGCTCCTGTCTATCCTAAGCTTCAGGAGAACGTCGCTGAGCAGCTCGCTCGTAATCAACTGACCAGCTACTTGAACTCTTCCAGTGCAGCTCGTCCGCTCAATCAGCGTAAGAGACCTCTCATTTGACCCATCACTACGGTACCACTCACGGACAGGTGGCAAATCAAGGCTCGCTGGTCTGTCGAACATCGAGTGTAATAAACAGAACCGCTCAGATTCCATGCTCGACAGGTCGGGAACTAACGGGGGTTCCGCCCCGCGTGCCGCCCGGCGCACGACGGCTTCACCCACGCGCACGACAGCTTCGTCCGCTGAGTATCCGATCGTCAGCGGGTGCCGCTCTCGGATTCGATCTCTACAAGCGATCCAGAGTGCCGCCCCGCGCACGACAGCTTCGTCCTGGTAAGGGTGCGGTTTTGGCGCCAATTTGTTGCCAAAGAACTCGCGCAATCTGCTTGCGATCATCGGGATCCTTGTACATCCGCCCACAAGCAGGACTTCGTTCACATCTTCGACCGCCGTGGCTGTCTCATCTAACACCTGGCCAACGCAGGTCAGGCACTCCTCCACAAGCAACTGACACTTGTGCTCAAACTCCTGGCGGTCGATGAACACCCGCAGGTCTTCGTCATCGCCGAAGAACGACTCTATCTCAACAAACGCCTCGTGCAACAATGTCAAGTCCTGTTTGGCCTTCTCGCTGGCTGTCTTCAGCCTTCGCACCATGCTGGGCGTCAAGTCTTGCCCCCCCCACTCTCTCTCTCCTCTCTCCAGCACCAGCTCCATAATCTTTATGTCGAAGTCCTTCCCCCCTAGACTCGGTTTGCCTGCCACCCCATTTACAATCAACTTCCCCCCGACAATGGTCACGAGGGATGCGTCGAAGCTTCCCCCCCCCAGCGCGAAAACCAGGATCTTCATCGCACCAACCCCGCTCCCTCCACAGCCACCACGACCAGCATCCAGCGAGATCAGGCCCGTGTGATGGGCGTACGCCAGGGCGGCTGCCGTCGGCTCACTCACCAGTTCCACGTCAGCGAAGCCTGCGATCTCAGCCGCCAATTTGGTCGCCGATCGTTGCCTGTCGTCGTAGGAGGCGGGAACCGTGATGACCGCAGCTCTGCTGGTCAGGCGGGAGTCAAGAAACACCTCGGCGCAATGCTTCATCTTCGCCAGCAGCATGCTTAATACCTCCTCCGGCGTGAAGGATTGCATTTGAATGATCCCCTCCTCCTCATTATCATGACGATCGCTGACAAACAGAGACAAAAACTCACTTTTCACTTCGACTCGTGCTTCCCCCGACTGTCCCCTTGCCACCCTGAAAGGCCAACGATACCGCTCTTCTCTGGTAATCGAATCGTAATCTCGTCCGATCAGTCGTTTGATCTCAAACAGCACGTTCTCCACTCTCCTCTGCACTTGCTTCTGAGCTTGCGCGCCCACAAGCCGCTTCCTGTCCGTGAACGCAATGAAAGAAGGCGTTGATAGTTTTCCAAATTCGTTCGGTATGACTCGTACCCTCTCGTTGCCGAAAACCGCCACCGCGCAAGAAGATGTACCGAGGTCGATCGCAATCCCGTTCGTCCTCAATGGCGCCGCAGGCTTCGGGCCGGGCTCGACAATATCTTCCACAGTGGTTCTCGTGCAAGAAGAACTACTGGGGTAAATAAGCTTCGTCGTCGGGGATGACGGGCGAACTTCCTTTATTAGTGTACCTACACTACCATTCCCTTCTCCTCTTTCCCTCCCCTCATTCTCGACCTTATCCCGCTCCATTCCCTTCCCTTCTCTACTCTCCCCCTGCCCAATCCCGCCGGTCTTCATGAAGTCTGGTATAGTCGACGCCTTACAAAACGAATTACCGAGGTAAACGCGAGCCGTCACAGGAGGCGCGGGTTTTCCCTCGGCTTCCAGAACTTCCGCTAGTGTGCCTTCGCTACCATTCCCTTCTCCTCTTTCCCTCCCCTGACACTCCTCCGCATCCCGGTCCATCCTCTTCTCTTCTCTACTCTCCCCCTGCCCAATCCCCCCAGCCTCCGTGAAGTCTGGTATAGTCGACATCGCACAAGACGAACTACCGACGTCAACGAGATCCGTAACAGGAGGCGCGGGTTTTCCCTCGGCCTCCAGAACTTCCGCTAGCGTGCCTACACTACCATTCCCTTCACCTCTTTCCCTCCCCTGACTCTCCTCCCCATCCCGCGCCATTCCCTTCCCTTCTCTACTCTCCCCCTGCCGAACCCCCCCGGCCTCCATCAAATCTGGCAGAGTCGACATCGCACAAGACGAACTACCCAGGTAAACGAGATCCGTCACAGGAGGCGCGGGTTTTCGCTCCGCCTCCAGAACCTCCGCTACTATGCCTACACCACCATTGCCTTCTCCTCTTTCCTTCCCCTGACCCTCCTCCCCATCCCGCTCCATTCTCTTCTCTTCTCCTCTCTCCCCCCCCCCAGTCCCCCCGGTCTCCATGATTTCTGGTACAGTGGTCATGGCGCAAGGAGAACCACCCTGGTCAATAGGGTTCGTCGAAGGAGGTGCGGGTTTCAATCCGGCCTCCATAACTTCGATTTCTGTACCTACACAAAAATCCCCTTTTCCTCCTCCCGTCCCCTCACTGTCCTCCCCATCCTGCTCCATTCTCCTCTCTTCTCCTCTCTCCCCCTGCCCAATCCCACCACTCTCCACGACTTCTGGTACCGTCGTCATGGCGCAAGGAGAACTCTCCCGGTGAATAGGATCCGTCAAACCGGCCTCCGTAACTTCGATTTCTCTACCTACACAAACGTACCCCTTTCTTCCACCGGTCCCCTCACTCTCCTTCCCATCCTGCTCACTTCTCTTCTCCTCTCCTCTCTCCCCCTGCCCTGCACCCCCGGTCTCCACGACTTCTGGTACAGTGGTCATGGCGCAAGGAGAACTACTGTAGTCCATAGGATTCGTTGGGGGAGGTGCGGGTTTCAAAACGGCTTCCATAATTTCGATTTCTGTACCTACAGAAAAATTCCCTTTCTCTCCTCCCGTACCCTCACTCTGGTCCCCATCCCGCTCACTTCTCTTCTGCTCTCCTCTCTCTCCCTGCCCAATCCCCTCAGTCTCCATAACTACTGGTACAGTGGTCATGACGCAAGGAGAACTATCCTGGTCAATAGGATTCGTCGGGGGAGGTGCGGGTTTCAAGCCGGCCTCCATAACTTCGATTTCTGTACCTACACAAAAGTTCCCTTCTCTTCCACCCGCCCCTTCACTCTCCTTCTTAACCTGCTCACTTCTCTTCTCCTCTCCTCTCTCCCCCTGCCCTGTACCCCCGGCCTCCATGACTTCTGATACTGTGGTCGTCGTGCAAAAAGAACGACCCAGGTCAATGAGATTCGTCGGCGGAGGCGCGGGCTTTTGCTCGACCTCCATAACTTCCACTAGTTTACCTACGCTACCATTCCCTTGTCCTCCTTCCCTCCCTTCACTCTCGACCTTACCCCGCTCATTTTCCTTCTCTTCTTCTCGCTCTTCCTGCCCAATCCGCCGCGATTCAGAGTCTGGTAAACTCCCCTCTACAGAGCTCAGTACGTCATGCGACTCGCCAACAGATGGTTCCTGTTCGCCTTCCATCCCGGCCGCAATTGCTGTGATTCGACTTCTCGTCAGCTTCCGCCGTAAGACTTGTGTGTTTGTTTTAGACTCCCTCCTCCCCGTCTCACAACTCCCCACTCAGCAGGTTCGGCCTCACTCCATCACTCCAAGTTGCTCTGCTGTTCCTCTACACCGTGTCATATACCCGGTTGCGCTGCCGCGCACGGTTTTCTCACTCACCGTCTCACCCTTCGCCTCGCCTCCTCCCCTTGTCATCGCCAACATGAGCCTGCTCTCCCCTTCCACCGTCGTACGCACTAGGTTTTCTTTTCTATCCTTTCTAATCGGTTCGGGAACGAATACAGTACGGGTCCAAAAAGAAAAGAAAAGAAAAAAACGAACGAAAAAAAGGGGTCCCGTTTATCCTCCTTGTTCCTTTCACTAGAATTGAGAGCGAGATTACAGCGTTGCCAGCGCCAAAGCGCCAGAGATGGGCGTACTCATAGTGCGACCCCTATGCGGATTTGGGAAGGGCAGATTTGAGGTTTTGGACATGGTTCACGTCACACTGCTGGACCTTTTCAGATGGGACAAGGTCGCGGCCGTCTGGAGAAATGGGGATTTGCGGCTGGTCACAGCGCCATCCACATATTGTGCAAGAACTTTTGTGAAGGATTTTTTTGCCAATGCGAAAAAATGAAATAGGGCATTTGCGGTCACCTCCGGAGGTGACCGCAAAAGCCCTTGCCCCGGCAGAGGAGCGAAAATTCTACGGAGCGGACCGGTAGCGCTCCAATGAAGCCCTGCGCTACCAGGCGTACTCGCTGTCCGGAGCCGGCAGAGCTCTGCGTCGGCAGTGAGGTGTGGGATTCGGGGTGTGGGTTGGAACGATGTCTTCTTCATCTATCCCTAGGTGGCCATCGCCCTCAGCTCCAACAAGGGGCTGCTTCTCCCTGTGGAATACCAGGGAGCAGGGTCATTCGGGTTTCCTCCTACAACAGAAAAGTAACGAAACTCATTGCAGTGTGAACACGACGCACGAAACTCATTCCAGTGTGAACACGACGAAGGGAGAGAGAGTACGAGACAGCGGGCACATCCAACAGCGACACCTCTGGAGGCAGTGGGTGGGCAGCAAGGGAGAGAGGCAGTGGGTGGGCAGAGAGAGTACGAGACAGCAGGCACATCCAACAGCGGCACCTCTGGAGGCAGTGGGTGGGCAGCAACAGCGGCACCTCTGGAGGCAGTGGGTGGGCAGCCGGTGGTGGTGGGACTGGTGTTGGGAGGAGCACTTAAGAACTACTGTTGACTATCTCCACTGGGAGCGTGAAAGACCCTAAGCTCGATGGGTAGCGGCACCACCAATGGCAGTGGGACTTCCTCTGGTGGTGGTGGGAGCTTCTCCGTCGGGATCAAGGGTGCCGAGCATTAACCAAGACATTCTCTTGCATGGAATATTTAGAGAGCACTAACGTAGCAGCATTCTTTGCTAACTACTCCTTATGAGTGGCTTACTTCATGACAAATGTACACGATAATATTTGGAAAATCTCGAAAGGAGCACGGAGGGGGACAGAGCTCCGTTGAAGCGCTGCACTACCGATGGTATCGCCGTTCGGAGATGGCAGCGGACAGCAAGGTGCGGGATTCGGGGTGTGGGGGCGGAGCTATGGAGTACTTGGTACTCTCTAGGTTCAGCCATCACCCTCAGCCTCGACAAAGGGCTGCGCCTCTCTGTGGAATATCACGGAGCAGGGTGGTTCCCGTCCCTACTACTACCTTCAACCTCCAGAATTCAAGTGTTATCTACTGCTGTATTATGCCCATTTATGGGTTAAATACATTGCAAACTGCACGAAGAAGGTAGAGAGGCTTAAGTGCTTGGCGAATGGTGAGTCAGACAGCGGCACTTCCAGGAGCAGTGGGAGGGCAACTGGCAGCGGTGGGACTGTTGTTCTGAGGAGCATGTACGGAGTACTAGTGAATATCTCAACCGGGAGTGTGAAGACACTACCTGTAGGGCGAAGGGCAAGGGCTGTATGGTGGACTGGGTGAAACCACGTCACTATAAATGGAGACACTCATGTTTTAGTTACATCGACTACTCTTATCTTGGCCTTTTACTTACCTCAATTTCGAAATTCCATTCCATTTTCTTCTCCTTGGTCTTTCGAGTTACTCTGTCTTCGGTCTTATCCTTGGGTGTTGTCAGTCTTTTCCTGGTCTGCCTTCATAAGTTTCAGTTGTCAGTGAAATTTTGTTTGACATTGTATTAGTACTTGGTTTGTAAAGCAATAACAGCATATTTTCATGTTTTAGGGTTTTCTCCCTACTCTTAGTGGCAATTATAACGTCGGGAATATCGGTGCCCTTGGTGTGCGAGGGTGGGAGTGTATTCCGTAGCTCGGGTTCTTTGCGGGTGGCCAAGTTGGTAAGCCAGATCCAAGCCTGTTCTTATTTTGGATTTCAGCATGACTCTCCTATGAGCTAGAAGTTGGAAGTGGGCTTGCTACATTTCTTACATTTGGTACCTGAGGGGGTTTATAGGCCAGATCCCTGCTCCCCTTTATCTCCAGCTCTAGCCTGCACTTTAGCACACACCTCTTGCTTGAAGGCAAGGGAAGAGCCCAGGGCGGCGAACTTAGCTCGTAGCTTGAATTCGGTATTGGTTTTTGCTTTTCTGTATAGTGGATATGCCTTGGGAACTGTGGTGAATTTGATAGGTTGAGTTAGTTAGGCAGGACTTACTTCATAGATTAGCAGTAGTTCTTGACCTATTCACGGGCAGTATTGGGCCGTAAGCGAAATTGGGTAACAAAAAAGGAGCCAGATTGTTTGGTATTCGTCTTCGGTTCTGGTTCTGCCAGACTTATAAGCGAAACTGGCTAATGCTGCCCGGATAACTCCGGGTTGAATTGTGAGGTCCCCGGCCTCTGTTCCTTTGTTTTAAAAAAAAAATAATAATAATAATAATTGAGAGGAGAAAAAAAAAAAAAAAAAAACCTTGCCATTTGTGAATTTAGGAGATCCGTGTGACCGGCCGTTTCCCCTTTTTTTTTGGATTTTGGGAATATAGGTCCCCGTGTGAGTATGCCCTTACAGTGCGACCCCAAATCCGCTTGGGAAGGGCCGATTTGAGGTTTCGGGCATGCTTCGGGTCGGACTGCTGTACCTTTTCAGATGGGACAAGGTCGCAGCCGTCTGGAGAAATGGGGATTTGGTACTGGACAAATTGTGCAAGAACTTTTGTGAACGAATTTTTGCCAATTTTTGAAGAAAATGCGAAGAAAACAATAGGGCATTTGACCGCAAAATCCCTTGCCCCGTGGCTTCCCAGGCCGCTGACAAATGGGCACACCAATATTACATTTGGTACTTTGGCAAATCTGTGTCATCGCAACGCTACCCTTTTTTGGGGGGATTTGGGATTATAGGTCCCAGTTTGAGTATGCCCTCACTTCCGCCATTGTGAGGGTGCGTCACTGCGTTAGTCCCATAGAAGCGCGAGTCCCAGCATTTCACAGGGTGTACTCACACTACCACTATCTTCAATGTACCTAACCACATTTACGGCCGGACTTATATGTATCTGGCCACAATAAGTAAAAAAGTGCAAGTGTGAGGGCAACTCACACACCGTGAGCAAAGTTGCAAAATCTGCAATTTTGCAATTTCGAATTTGAGATTTATGTGGGCGGCATACTCACACACCTGTAGCAAAACAGCAAAATGTGAATGAGATATGCAGCAAAATGTGAATGAGATATGCGGGCTCGCTGCACTACTCTAGATTCGAGCTTTTTCTTGAGTGCGGCGTGACTGCACTTACTCAAGAAATGGGTGCTCGAAAACCTGTTCTAGAGCTGTCAGAATGACTCTAGAAAAAAAATAGGGTCCTCATTGCTCCACTTAGGGACTCGCCACACAGGCTTTCGAAACGCGCAAAATAGACGCTGTGTCTTCGCCACACAGCCTTTTGAAACAAGTTCTTTCAAAAAAGTTTCAAAAGGTGTCAGATTGGCCGGCGTCGAAAGTCATTTCGAAGAGAGGAGATCCTCCCACCTTTCACGAGAGTTTCCTCGAAAGACCTTGAGTGGTCTTGTGAAAAGGCCCACTCGAAACCGTAGATTGGCAAAAAAAAAGAAAAAAAGAAAAAGGGGAAATTACAAGGGCCTGGCTCCACTACTCTCAACATGCACAAAAGACAAAAATTATGGTGGTGCATCTTTCCATGTTCTAGCCAAAGATTCGCACTCCCCTTTCACACGCTTAGAGAGCAGTGGAGCCAGGCCCTAATGTGGATATATAGGAAGGCCTCGGTGTTTCGAAAGTCTATGTGGCAAGGGGGGGGGGTTCATTTCCAGGAGCCGCCTTTCGAAAACAGTCTGACACCTTTCGGGGAATGCCTTCATTCTAAAGGCTGTGTGGAGAGCCCCTTACTCGATAAGTTCGCTCTAGATTTTTCATTTCTTGAGCTTGCAGAGCCGGTCGGTCCTTCTCACTCTAGGTTAATCTAGACTACAAGCCTGCAAGGGCGTTTTTCTTAAGGGGGATACGGAGGACCCTTGAAACGCCTTGGTTTCCGTTGAGTGGGCCTTTAGTCTGGGCGGACAACCCAGGCTGGAGCTGTCCTGTAGTGAAATGGCCAAACTCGGAAAGTGGTGGAGCAACTCTAGCGTTCCTAGAGTCTAGAGCTAGTGTGGCGATGGGTAGATTTTAGGACTTTTCGTGACTCTGACAGCTCTAGTGACTCTGATGGCTCTAGAACAACTCTAGAAAATTTTCACGAGTCTAGAGTAGTGCAGTGAGCCCCATGGCCGCAACTTTCTGAACACTGCTCCATTTGGTATCAGCCTGATCACACAGCTGATAGCAGATGGTGGAATATTTTTTTATTGGATTTTCATGTGTGTGTTGGATGTTTTTTTTTTGTTTTTTTTTTTCTTCCCTCCAACGTTTGGGCCTGCACGTAAAGGGTTCGCCTGGCGGCGGCCACTGTGGTACCCCTCCTATGGACCAAGCACTCGAATCCAGGCGTGTTGGGGGACAAGTGCATGGTAGTGCGGCTTTTTGCATCTGTCCGCAAACTCGTGCGCGCTCAAGCCCTGTTTCCTTCTCTTCTGAGGTGGTGATTGGTACACACAGCATCAATATTGTCATAAACA